CATCATCATTATCATCATTACCATGATCATTATCGTCGTCATCGTCTTTGTGATATAAATCCTGATCGATGTGATCTTCTTCCTTTGACTCCTTACTCTCGTCCAAGAACCCATATCCGCCTGTGGCAGAAATAGTTGTATCCCGATCACTGGAGTCTATATTCCACATACTGGGATAATCCACATCATAATTGTATGGTCCAAAATAGTTATGATATTCATAATCGTTGTGTGGGAAAAGGGGTGACACCCGACCATTTACTATGGCCACTATACCGCAACTTAGGAACAGTAATAATAATTTCATTTTTTATTCAGATTCGTTTGGAAACTAATGTTCTACCCCGGTATACCTGTGCTTTTATATGGAACACGTCGTGTATGGAAATTTTGTGATTCAGCAACATGCATTCTGTAAAAAAATCATCAAGTGATAACAATCGCCTGTAAATGCGTTTTAGTAGACAAATTGCAGGGCACAAGGGTGCAATGGCAGCGATGTCACCAGTTAATGTAAATAGATCTGATTAGGCGGTACCATCAAAAACTGCATTAATTAAAAAAATAATTTAAGAAATTTCCCTTAAAAAATCCAGGTCTTATGTCAACCTTGACATTCATTAAAAATCCACGCTTTCGGTAGACCCTTGAAAAAATATTCTTTAAAAATTCCACGCCTTTGGTAGACCCTTGAAAAAATATTCTTTAAAAAATCCACGCCTTCGGTAGATCCTTGAAAAAATATTCTTTAAAAAATCCACGCCTTCGGTAGACCCTTGAAAAAATATTCTTTAAAAAATCCACGCCTTTGGTAGACCCTTGAAAAAATATTCTTTAAAAAATCCACGCCTTTGGTAGACCCTTGAAAAAATATTCTTTAAAAAATCCACGCCTTTGGTAGACCCTTGAAAAAATATTCTTTAAAAACTCCACGCCTTTGGTAGACCCTTGAAAAAATATTCTTTAAAAACTCCACGCATTTGGTAGACCCTTGAAAAAATATTCTTTAAAAAATCCACGCCTTTGGTAGACCCTTGAAAAAATATTCTTTAAAAAATCCACGCCTTGTGTGGAGCCTTGAAAAAATATAATTTAAAAAATCCACGCCTTTGGTAGGCCCTTGAAAAAATATTCTTTAAAAAATCCACGCCTTGTGTGGAGCCTTGAAAAAATATAATTTAAAAAATCCACGCCTTTGGTAGGCCCTTGAAAAAATATTCTTTAAAAAATCCACGCCTTTGGTAGACCCTTGAAAAAATATTCTTTAAAAAATCCACGCCTTTGGTAGACCCTTGAAAAAATATTCTTTAAAAAATCCACGCCTTTGGTAGACCCTTGAAAAAATATTCTTTAAAAAATCCACGCCTTTGGTAGACCCTTGAAAAAATATTCTTTAAAAAATCCACGCCTTTGGTAGACCCTTGAAAAAATATTCTTTAAAAAATCCACGCCTTTGGTAGACCCTTGAAAAAATATTCTTTAAAAAATCCACGCCTTTGGTAGACCCTTGAAAAAATATTCTTTAAAAAATCCACGCCTTTGGTAGACCCTTGAAAAAATATTCTTTAAAAAATCCACGCCTTTGGTAGACCCTTGAAAAAATATTCTTTAAAAACTCCACGCCTTTGGTAGACCCTTGAAAAAATATTCTTTAAAAACTCCACGCCTTTGGTAGACCCTTGAAAAGGTATTCTTTAAAAAATCCACGCCTTTGGTAGACCCTTGAAAAAATATTCTTTAAAAAATCCACGCCTTTGGTAGACCCTTGAAAAAATATTCTTTAAAAAATCCACGCCTTATATGAGCCTTGAAAAAATATACTTTAAAAAATCCACGCCCTGATTGGAGCCTTGAACAAATATTCTTTATAAAATCCACGCCTTGTGTGGAGCCTTAAAAAAATATTTTTTAAAAAATCCACGCCTTGTGTGGAGCCTTAAAAAAATATATTCTTTAAAAAATCCACGCCTTTGGTAGACCCTTAAAAAAATATATTCTTTAAAAAATCCACGCCTTTGGTAGACCCTTGAAAAAAAATCTTTAAAAAATCCACGCCTTTGGTAGACCATTGAACAAATATTCTTAAAAAAATCCGAGCCTTTGGTAGACCCTTTAAAAAATCAACCCCTATTGTTGGTGCATTGGTGCTTGAAAATACTTGAAAAAAAAACAACGTTTGGGGTTTTTTGTGAATTTGTATTTATTATTTCCAATAAAGCTGGTATTTTCCCATCAAAAGCTGTTCATTTGACCCAGCACATTGGGTGGGGGAATCTGACAGTATGGAGTGAGATAACAATTCGATGACAGTTTTTTTGTGTTTTTTTACGAATCATCTATTCCTACTTTCGAATCCAAATAAATAAATGCGCAAATGCTGTATAAAGAAATTTCTTATCGCCAATAATTTTTTTTTTCACTGTCTTATAAAAACAATATTCGGAAAAAAATTCTAAGATCAGTTTTAGCACTGACTTTATATTGTAAGCAAGTCGTATAAGCGGAAAAGCAACAGCAGCAACATGAAAATAGTTTTTGCCCTCACTTTGCTGGTCGGTATTTGTTTGCCGATATTTGCACGCCCTTCTTGGGTGGACGATGACATCAGATTTGGAATTGGTAATGCAGATTATGCGGATGATGATAGCCTTGAGCAATGGTGGGATAGCCTTTTTGACAAAGAATTGACCTCGGAGGGGGACACCCCAAAAGGAAAAGTCGAATTTGAAATGGATTGGGAGAAGGAATTGCGGGATCTTCTATCTGTATTGGATGACGTTGCGGAGTTGGGAGAAGAAGTTACTGAAAAAGAGGAGGCTGAAAAATCTGAAGATGAAAATCATATTAACTTTGTCAGCTTAAATTCGGAAGATAATGAAAAAGAGGTTGAAATGCACAAAACTCACTTTTACAAAGTAAACGAAGTCGAAACTGAGGACCATAGTCCGGAATTGGAAAAGGAAACAGAATCTGATGAAGAATTCCGCGAAGAATCACATAGCACAGATGCTTTAATATCAAATAGCCCCTTAGGTGCTTTAATAAAACTTGTAACTATTACGCATAACTCAAACACGGAAGAGGAACAGCCTAAAGGAAAACTCGCCGAGGTAGATTCTATGGCAATCGCCGATCATAGTGCTGAAGAATCATCGGAAATTGAAAAATCCGATAGCAAATTTTTGGTATCACCGGATCAACAAAAGGCTGATCTTCTCAAACACGTTTCCGTCACCTCGCCACACAGTGAACTGCTGACAAATGAATATTTTGACAATTTGTTGGACTTGGTATATGCCCAGAGTCACATTTACGAGGCTTTGGATTTCATGCAAAAGAAAAATCTTCAATTATACGAACAAATATTTGCCGCAAATGGCAACCCTGCCGTTGAATATAATGGTCAGGAGCATAGACAAATCGAAACGGAAATAGCTGCAATGCTGTCGACACTGGATAAGGTTCGTGAAAAGGTTCTCGAAGTGAAAAGTTTGGAAGAGAAGCGTAACTATCATCTGTTGCTGAATGCTGTGGTCAAGGAAATTTATGGTGATAAATAATTTCCCTAAAAAAACCTAAATTTATATATTGTATTTATTTTGAATTATTTATGAATAAATTCTACAACCTATATATTTTTTGAATCCACCCCTATGATAGCGTGATCGCAAAAATAAACTTATTGATAAGAATAGGGTGTTTGTTTATTTATTGCAGATAAAGAATTGTGCCTGCGCCTAAATGTATGCTACGCAATATGATGTAAAGAGGCGTGGATATTTCGATAATATTATTTCATGGCTTAACCGAAACGTTGATTTTTTAAGAATATTATTCAAGGATCTATCAAAAGATTGGATTTAAAAACATATATTTTTTAGGATCTTTTATAGGCTTGGAGATTTTTTAAAGAATATTTTTTCAAGGCTCCGCACAAGGCGTGGATTTTTTAAAGAACAAGGCGTGGATTTTTTAAAGAATATTTTTTCAAGGCTCCACACACAAGGCGTGGATTTTTTAAAGAATATTTTTTCAAGGCTCCACACAAGGCGTGGATTTTTTAAAGAATATTTTTTCAAGGCTCCACACAAGGCGTGGATTTTTTAAAGAATATTTTTTCAAGGCTCCACACAAGGCGTGGATTTTTTAAAGGCTCCACACAAGACGTGGATTTTTTAAAGAATATTTTTTCAAGGCTCCACACAAGGCGTGGATTTTTTAAAGAATATTTTTTCAAGGCTCCACACAAGGCGTGGATTTTTTAAAGAATATTTTTTCAAGGCTCCACACAAGGCGTGGATTTTTTAAAGAATATTTTTTCAAGGCTTCACACAAGGCGTGGATTTTTTAAAGAATATTTTTTCAAGGCTTCACACAAGGCGTGGATTTTTTAAAGAATATTTTTTCAAGGCTTCACACAAGGCGTGGATTTTTTAAAGAATATTTTTTCAAGGCTTCACACAAGGCGTGGATTTTTTAAAGAATATTTTTTCAAGGCTTCACACAAGGCGTGTATTTTTTAAAGAATATTTTTTCAAGGCTCCACATATTTTTAAAAATTCCTCGCTTTAGTTAGGTCATTGAAAAATGATTTTTTAAATAATCCCTCCATTTGTGTGATATGTGAGGGCTCACTCCATTCCCAGCTTTGTTTTTGTTATTAATTTTTTTTCTCGGAATATTCTGGCATTTGTTATCAGTTTTCAATTTATTTTTCGAATTCTAAAGGCTTTTGTTTTTGCTCTTACCGTTCTCAATGCAGTCGATTGACAGCTGAGAGATTACAGAAATGATCTTACCTTTACGTGACGACCCCAAATCCCTGATAATGAACTGGGTTCTGTTGCTGCCATTGATAATGAAATGTTCTGTAAGAGAAGACTGTCCGTCGTCTTCTCGAAGTGAATATTTGACTACGTTTTTATTAGATATTTATTTTATTATTGTTGTTGTTTTTGTTATATTATAAAGATTTATTAGCCTAGGTGCTGCCTTCTATGCTCTAATCATAAGTGGTCTCATTCCATTCGTTCGATTCGTTGGAGGCATCATTACCCTCACAACCCTTGACATAATCCTCCTCGGAACTTTGTTTGGTTTTCTCCGGCAAATCGTTCAGCTCGATTTTGGCCTCCTCGGATTTATTGCGATCTTCCTCGTTTTCGTTTTCTTCATCTTCGTCTTCGTTATCAACAATTAAATATTTTCCATTTTCTTTTTGTTTTTCCTCGTCGCTGAGCGACACAATCACTTCATTGTAATCCACATCACGAACAATGTTGCGAATTTTCGGTAACTCTTCACTCACGTAGAGGTCATCGGAAAGGGTTTGACGTCTACGCCGTCTGGCAATGGCATTTTCTGCCTGATCTTCTTTGGGTTGATTTTTTTCCTCGGATGAGTTTTCTTCCGACGAATCAGCATTGCGGCGACGTCTAGCTGCTTCCTCGGCAGGAGCTTCATTGGGTTTTTCAGCGGGTGCTTGTTTTTCCTCAGAAGATTCTTCAGAGGAGTTGTCGGCATTTCGGCGGCGTCTAGCAGCGGCCTCTTCGTGTTTTACTTCATCTGTTGGGGCTTCATTGGGTTTTTCCGCAGCGGCTTTCTTCTCTTCCGAGGAGTCCTCTTCGGAGGATTTGTCAGCATTTCTTCTACGTCTGGCAGCCTCTTCATGTTTTACTTCCTCAGCGGGAGCTTCATTGGGTTTTTCAGCATCGGCTTTCTTTTCTTCCGAAGAATCTTCCTCTGAAGACTTATCAGCTTCTCTCCGACGTCTGGCAGCCTCTTCATGTTTTACTTCCTCAGCGGGAGCTTCATTGGGTTTTTCAGCATCGGCTTTCTTTTCTTCCGAAGAATCTTCCTCTGAAGACTTATTAGCTTCTCTCCTACGTCTGGCAGCTTCTTCAGGTTTTACTTCCTCAGCCGGAGCTTCATTGGGTTTTTCAGCAGGTGTTTGTTTCTCCTCAGAAGATTCTTCGGAGGATTTATCAGCTTCTCTGCGACGTCTGGCAGCCTCTTCTTGTGTCACTTCTTCAGCAGGGGCTTCACTGGGTTTTTCGGCGACTACGACTTTATTCTCTTCCGATGAGTTCTCTTCAGATGACTTATCTGCTTCTCTCCGGCGTCTGGCAGCTTCCTCATGTACGGCTTCCTCAGCAGGAGCTTCACTGGGCTTCTCAGCCGGTGCTTGTTTCTCCTCCGAAGATTCTTCCGATGAGGAATCAGTTTTTCTTCTACGTCTGGCTGCAGCTTCCTCATGTTTCACTTCCTCAGCTGGAGCTTCACCTGGTTTCTCACCTCCTTTCTCCTCGGAAGAATCCTCTTCAGATGACTTGGCACTGCTGCTGCGTCGGGCCCTTTTTAATTTGGCAAATTTCTCATTTTCAATGGTGCCCAAATCTTTGACACGAATATGATTGTGGTTGGGTAAATCGGGATGAATGGAACGTTTGGCACGACCACCAATCAGATTGTCCTCCGTATTCTCATCATCATCCACCACAACTACCGTATATTCATCTTCCTTGCCCATGGTGTTATCCTCATCCTGTGCAATATCTCTGACAACATACTGGATTTTAACCTCGGATTTTATTTCATCACTTTCTTCACTAGAATCAGCATCTTTGGCTTTGGGCTGCTCATCTTCCACCGATTCCCTGGAGGAACTGTCTTGGACTACTTTTTTATTGAGGCTATTCACTTTCTTCAAAGGCACTTCTTCCCGACTTTCATCACTTGAACTCTCCGAACTATCGATTTGGAATTTTTTAACAGGTCCTGCCAAGGACACAGCCACCAGGGCACACAACAGTGTGCACACAATTATGAGTTTCATGGTCTTCTCTTTATCTGTTGTAGGTTTTTTTCCGGAAAAATTTGCACTCCTGACTAGCGTATTTCGATTGTGTGTTGTTCTTCGTTCTCAATTCGTTTACATACTGTCCTCATAACACAAATACTTCGTAATTTGTATTGATACGTTAACGCTTTCCTTATCAGCAACTGTCTGGCCGGGTCTACATAGAAGAGTTACTGTGGTCAATGTTTTGTCGTTGCAAATTTGTCTTTGTAAATTTGGAATTGCAAATTTCTAGCTACCAGAGAGAGCTATAAGAGTCAGGAATTTTTTATAAATATTTTTGTAAGGGTTATAAGAGGAGTGGATTTAAAAAAAATCTTTTTAAGGACTATCCATAGGCGTGGATAAAAATATTCTTTGAAAAAGGCTTGAAAAAATATTCTTTAAAAATTCCACGCCATTTGTGGAGGCTTGAAAAAATATTCTTTAAAAAATCCACGCCATTTGTGGAGGCTTGAAAAAATATTCTTTAAAAAATCCACGCCTTTTGTGGAGGCTTGAAAAAATATTCTTTAAAAAATCCACGCGTTTTTTTGGGGAGGCTTGAAAAAATATTCTTTAAAAAGTCCACGCCTTTTGTGGAGGCTTTAAAAAAAAGTATTCTGAAAAATGTATTCTTTAAAAAGTCCACGCCTTTTGTGGAGGCTTGAAAAAATATTCTTTAAAAAATCCACGCCTTTTGTGGAGGCTTGAAAAAATATTCTTTAAAAAATCCACGCCTTTTGTGGAGGCTTGAAAAAATATTCTTTAAAAAATCCACGCCTTTTGTGGAGGCTTGAAAAAATATTCTTTAAAAAATCCACGCCTTTTGTGGAGGCTTGAAAAAAATATTCTTTAAAAAATCCACGCCTTTGGTTAGACCTTAAAAAATAATCTTTGAAAATATTGAACCAATGCTTCGTTCTGGTCAGGAAATAAATTACGACTTATTTAAATCCCATATTGATAAGAGTGATTGTAGTCAGTGTAACTTTAACGGATCAGTGACAATCAGTATCATTATCGCCATCATCCACATCATCATCGAGTGTGGCAGATTCAAAATATTTTTTATTTTGTTTTTCAGCTGTTTTATAAATAATATTGAGTCTGAAAATAGTTCGTAATAAATAAAATGCATTTTTATGTAATTTTTTCATCGTTTGTTTCTGATGAAATTCCAGACAGGCGGACGATAACTGGTTGCATTCGGAATTCTGGGAAAGGAAAACGAAATAAAAATAATCAAATTGGCCTTGCTCGCGATCTTTGTTGTCTAGTCAAGAAGGAAATGCTGTAAATAAACACTTGGAAAATCCATGTGAGAATTTTAACAGTGGCGATCAGGTAGGGAAATATGTAAACATAACTTCCCCATAATTTTCTCTTTCTCACTTAATAATTTACAAGTTTTTTCCTCTCTTTAGAAATTAATAAGAAAATTATTCTCTTAAACATAAATTTTAATTATAAAAAAACAAAATCTCTAAGAAGCAAATTTCCTCACACACCATAAAATTTTGTAAACAAATTTGCTAAGAGTTTCGCAAAGTATTTCTCTACACGATGGACGTTCGTCCATCCATCAGTCCAGATATATGTTTTGTTTTTTTGGACGTGGATGTGTATTTTTGGTTTTTTTTTTCGGCAGGTTAATGACTCAATGAGGAAGTAGTTGTTGCTATTTGCTATGGTCATGCCGATGAGCTATGTCTCCTCTGTCCATTTTGTACGGAAATTTGTATGTACTAAACATTCCGACCATATTTTACTCTCAGAGGATTCTATGTTTGGTGACAAAAAATAGCAAACGAATATATAAATAAAATAGAATGGGAATCTCATTAGGACTATACGATGGTCAGTTGAAAAGTTTTCGGCATAATATTTAATTTTTTTTGATTCCAGACAACCCACCCAAAAATATTCTTCAGACCTACTTCAAGTCACTACCACGTAAACCAAATAACATTATATTGTCATTTATCTAAGTAATTTTATCTATTTTTCCATTTCCCAAAAAACGCTCCAAATTATACATTACCCACTCTCTCACTCTCCTATCCCCCTGTGTTTATATTTTGTTTTCCACTGCAACATTATTTTAGATAATCGACAGCCAAAACAAAGACCTATCCCAAAATAACTTGAATTGACCTAAAATAACATCACTTGACACACACGCAGCTCTCACCACGCTGCCAAACAGCAAAACAAACTAAAAGCTTACACACGGCGAGTGATGAAAAGGCAAACATACACGCAACACGCTGAAAAATGAAGGAAAGAAAATAAACAGCCAACAGTAAAGAAACAGCAATTAAACCATTATTACAACAAATGTAAAAAAACGACAACAACAAAAACAGAGAAGAGGAACATTTTCTAGAGAAAAGAAACTTGGCAGATCGAGGTGGGACCCTATAACTGATATTTAAAAAAATCCCACCTTTGGGAAGACGAAAATATATATGTGAGCTATATCTAAATCCGAACTGATTTTCACGAATCTTTCCACGCATCATTCTAGGCTCAATTCAGTACGCTGTGCCAAATTTCGTGCAAATCGAGAGATATTTAGGGGCTTTGGTGCAACATTTACCTTAAATCGGACGAATATATATGGGAGCTATACCTACATTTCAACCGATTTTCACGAAACTTAGCACCTCTCATTCTAGGCTCAATTCAGTACGCTGTGCTAAATTTCGTGCAAATCGAAAGATATATAGCGACTTTGGTGCTCCATTCATCTTAAATCGGACGACAATATATATGTGAGCTATATCTAAATCTGAACCGATTTTCACGAAACTTTACACTCATCACTCTATTATTAATTCAGTTCGCTGTGCTAAATTTCGCAGAAATCGAAAGATATATAGGGGCTTTGGTGAACCATTTACATTAAATCGGACGAACATATATATGGGAACTATATATAAAACTGAACCGATTTTCACGAAACTTAGCACACATCATTCTAGACTCATTTCAATACGCTGTGCAAAATTTCGTGCAAATCGAAAGATATATAGGGACTTTGGTGCTCCATTTGTCTTAAATCGGACGAAAATATATATGGGAGCTATGTCTAAATCTGAACCGATTTTCACGAAACTTAGCACACATCATTCTAGACTCATTTCAATACGCTGTGCAAAATTTCGTGCAAATCGAAAGATATATAGGGACTTTGCTGCTCCATTTTTCTTAAATCGGACGAAAATATATATGGGAGCTATGTCTAAATCTGAACCGATTTTCAAGAAATTTTACACACATCATTATAGACTCAATTCAGTATCCTGTGCCAAATTTCGTGCAAATCGAAAGATATTTAGGGACTTTGGTACACCATTTACTTTAAATCGGACGAAAATATATGTGGGAGCTATATCGAAATCTGAACCGATTTTTCCCAATTTCAATAGAGTTCGTCCTTGGGCAAAATAGAAGATCTGTACTAAATTTCATCCAAATCGGATTACAATTTACAATTTAACACGAACAGGCGGACAAGCTGACGGACGAAAATGCATAAATCGACTCAGAATGTGATTCTATTCATATTCTCAAAAGGAACCCTTAACACAGTGTGGTAAAGGGTATAAAAAACCCACCTCTGGCAAGACCTTAAAAAATATATTTTTATGCAGTATAGTCGGACGGGGTCGAGTTTGATGAAAATCTAACTTTCGGTGGTTCTATATTCTGATTGGGCAATATTTCGCGATATTAGCACCCTCTTGAAGGATCGTGATCGAACACACAAAAAATGAAGTTGTCGGTTCATTTCATCCCAAAAATTATTATCCGATCATCACCGAAAATTATACTCGTTGTCCTTGACCATACCTGGATCTTCATGGAAAAATTCAATGCGATCAGCACTATATATCCGCCCTCTAGTTTGTTAATGGGTTACCAAATAATATATGAATACCTAAGCACCTGTAAATATTTACGTGTAACTTAAACATCCGTACAAACGACAATATAATTCGTATTAATTTAAAGGTCAACCACTCCTCTTGGATATTCTATCAACTTTTCGGGTCTATACCCTTCGGGAGTAACTATATACGCTATAGAATAAAAATTTAGTAATTTTTCACATAAAAGTCAGGGTCCATTTGACCCGCTAAATATTGATCAATCTTTATCAAAACAAGCATGCTTCTTCTTTAGCCCGATCCCGTTCTCCATGTAAAAACACGCGATGTTCGGGCCATAATTGCGGCCTCTGGAGCGACCAGAAAAAAGGACAAAAATTAAGTATTTGGTATATTTCATCTCCTAAATATTAACCGATCTTTATTAAAAACATGGGTCTTCATTGGCCAGAACCCATCCTACATGCAAAACTTCGTGAAGATTGGTCCATAATTGTGGCCTGTATCGTGTTTACAAATCATAATGGATGGACGGACACACATGTCTAAATCGACTCAGCTAGTCGAGATATGCCGATCGGTATACTTGAAGGTGGATCTACGTCCAATATTTCGCGGCGTTACAAACTCTTGGGGCTGCACAAAGCTATAATACCCTGACAACATAGTTGTGTAGGGCATAAAAATCCACGTCTTAGATAGACCATTGAAAAACATTTTTAAAAAATCCGCCTAAAATTGATTTGATGTTACAATTTCCAAACCGTTTACTGAACTAACCACACCACCTCATTTCCCCATAGCGCCCGCCGTCAAAAAAGTGAAACGTCCAACAAGTGGAAGAAACAGCATGAATTGATCTAAAAGAAAACTTATGTGAAACTTTAAAAATAATCAGTCGCTAAATTGCAGCCAAGCGCACAACTTTTAAGAAAAAATACTACTTAACGAGAGCCATTTGTGCTGAGAATAAAAAAAATTAAAAATACATAAAAAATAAATAATTAATTCAACAATATTATAAAATCACAATAAATTGAAAATATACAAAATAATAATTTTTGAAGTGACCAATAAAAATCCATTAAAAAAAGAATAACAAAAAAATAAAAATTGAAAATCGTGTGTAATTAAAATAATTTAACAGTTATGCAATAAGCTGCAATAAAAATGTAACAACGAAAAAAAATCGGAAATTTAAAACACAGTTAATTCAAAACGCACATTTTTACCGGCTGTAAACAATTGTTTCTTTTCGCTTCTGAGTAATTTAATAAATTGAGTAACAGACGAACGAACACCTTTCTCAATAGATTTCAATATTTTTTTTTTTTTTTTTTTTTGAAATACATATATATTTTTGAAATACAATTTTTCATTAAGCAAAAACAAAAAAAATAAAAGAAAAAACGAAAAGTGTATTTTTAGTTTTTCTCTTTGGTGTTATGTGAACTCTCTTAAAAATCCAAATTTTCTCTTTTAATTTAAGAGCAACGAAAATAAAAATAACAGATAAGAGCATTAATTTCAAATAACAAAATAAACAAAACATAAATAAAATTTAAACGCCAGACAAATTAGCAGAAACCATAAAACAACAACAACAAACACAAAATATAAAATATAACCATTCGCCAGAATGCCAGAACCAAACTTCTTATCAATGTATTCATTTGGGCATGAGGCCCCAAAGAAAAAGCCCATCATTCATGTGTCATGCGGCATTGGCGATACAGATGGCTTCCCCGCCTTTGATGTCGATTCGGATGCCTATGCGGTCAAAGATGATTCGAAATGGGGTTTTCTAATAACTGGCGGTGCCGAATTCCATATGCCATTGACAGTATTTCAGGTGAGTTGAAGATGCAAAAAGAAATAAAATAATTTGTTAGTTACTACGATCAGTTTGGGCTTTTTTTTAATATTTTTTAATGGACCAAAATAAGGTCTTACCATAGGCATGAATTTTTATACCCTACACAAGTATGTTGTCAGGGTTTTATAGCTTTGTGCAACCCCAAGAGTTTATAACGCCGCGAAATATTGGTCCTAGACCCACCTTTAAATATACCGATCGTCATATCTCGATTAGCTGAGTCGATCTAGACACGTGTGTCCGTCCGTCATGTATGTCCATTATAATTTGTAAACACGATACAGGCCTCTGTTGTTGGACCAATCTTCACGAAATTTTGCATGTAGGATGGATTCTGCTCAATGAAGACCCTTATTGTTTTTGGTAAAGATCGGTTAAAATTTAAGGGATGAAATGGACCAAAAACTTTATTTTTGTCAGTTTTTTCGGGACGCTCCAGAGTCCGCAATTATGGCCGGAACAACACAAAATTTTACATGGAGAAGGAGATCGGGCCAAAGAATAAGCATGACAGTTTTCGTGAAGATCGGTCAATATTTAGCGGGTCAAATGGACCCTGACTTTTGTGTGAAAAATTAAAATTTTTTATCCTGGGGCGTATATAGTTGCCCCTGAAGGACATATACCAAGAGGAGTTGTTGACCTTCAAATTGATACCAATTATATGACTGTATGTGTTATACGTAATTAGGTAAAGGTGACTATGTGCATAGTATTACTATTAATCCATTAGAGGGCGGAAATGTCGCTCTGATCGCTATGAAATTTTACATGAAATTCCGGCTATGGTCAAGGACGATGCCTATAATTTTCGGTGATTTTGAAATGGTGCTTAGGCGGTGCATAAAAGCGAAATCATTATTTTTTCAGATTTTCTAGTCGTTCTAGAGGCCATTATTATATACAGAACATCACATATTTTACACGGTGAAGGGGATCTGAACAATTACTTAGAACGGCTGTTTAGATGATAATGGTCAATATTCCGAGGGTCAAATCAACCACAAACTTAAGTGACCACATTTTTATTTTATGTCAGGTTTAGACCTATAATCGGGCAAGAGAGTGCAAATATCTTGAAATTTTACCCAGGTTCAGAGTATAGAACCGCAGAAATTAGAGTGTGTGGAAGTTGTGTAGGGTTTCATATGGTCGGTCCCGTCCGACTATACTAATCCGCTTACTGGTTATTTATTTTTTAAGCCAAACATGTTTTTAAATACAAAAATGCAAAGTCGGGTAGTGTGGATCACTATAAAAACAGTAAGGAAAGTTCAAAAGTCGGATGAGCCGACTATATAATACCCTTCACCACTTTGGACACATACAAGAGATGCTAATATATACAATATCCTGTAGATAGAACAGACATCTAATCTTTAGAGGACCATTGAAATGGAATGGGGCGAAACTAAATGTGTGATCTACATAGGTATGTGAACCAAGTAAAAAAATTCAATGCACATACCATTCTGAAATCTATGAAAAATTGTATGTCAATCAGATTCTTTTGTGTACCATTTGTATGAAATCTAGGAAAATAATGTATATGGAGCTATATGTAAATCTGGACCTAATTGAGCAACCACTATGCCTTTGGTATGCTGCAGCACAGAGCGCTGTTCACAATTTTATCTCGTGTATATGGAACAGACGTAGGCTCCTCTGTGCACCATTTACCAAAAAATCGGAAGAAACTATATATGGGAGCCCTATCTAAATCTGAACCGATTTTCACAAGACGTCGAATACATAAATAAGAACGTATCTCAATACGTTGTGCCAAATTGTTTATCAATCGGACAAAAGTTGGGAGTTGGATATATCCATATATTGGATATATCCATATAGATATATAAAACTCCGTTTACATCAATGTGGATCTATTGTAATACGCTCTGCAAAATTTTGTCTCAATCGGAAAAATTATGGAAAGGTTAGTGCACCATTTACATAAAATCGGACGAAACTATATATGAGAGCTATATCTAAATCTGTACCGATTTCAACAAAACTTCATAAATATCAAAGAGGACCTAATTCAGTAGGCTGTGCAAAATTTTGCCACAATCGGAAAAATATTGGGAGTTTGGTGCACTATTTACATAAAATCGGATAAACTTTATATGGGAGAAATATATCTAAAACTGAACCGATTTCATCAAAACATCAAACTGTACCTAATTTAGTACGCTATGCAAAATTTTGGCTCAATCGGAAAAATATTAGAATTTTGGCGCACCATTTACATAAAATCGGACAAATCTATATATGGGAGCTATATCTAAATCTGGACCGATTTTCATGAAATTTAGCACACATCATTCTAGGCTTAATTCAGTACGCTGTGCCAAATTTCGTGCAAATCGAAAGCTAATTAGGGACTTTGGTGCACCATTTACCTTAAATCGAACGAAAATATATATGGGAGCTATATCTAAATCTGAACCGATTTTCATGAAACTTAGCACACAACATTCTAGGCTCAATTCAGTACGCTATGACAAATTTCGTGCAAATCGAAGAATATATAAGGTCTTTGGTGCACCATTTATCTAAAATCGGAAGAACATATATATGAGAGCTATATGTAAGTCTGACCCGATTTTCCCGAAACTTGGTACACGTCATTGTAGGCTCAATTCAGTACGCTGTGCCAAATTTCGAGCAAATCGAAATATATTTAGGGACTTTAGTCCACCATTTACCTTAAATCGAACGAAAATATATATGGGAGCTATATCTAAATCTGAACCGATTTTCACAAAACTTAGCACACATCATTCTAAGCTTAATTCAGTACGTTGCGCCAAATTTCGTGCAAATCGAATTTTAAAAATGCGACTTTGGTGTACCATTTACCTCACAAAAATACATGGGACGTCAAACATGTATATGAGAGTGTTTTTGTGCATATTCTCAAAAGGAACCATGTGTCTATCTCGTTTCCTTTTGCCTCTTACAAACATATGCACAAAGACATATTACCCTGTACCACAGTGTGGTGAAGGGTATAAAAATTCACACTTCAGTTTTTATTTTAAAAAATATTTTTAAAAAAGTCACGCTTGTGGAAACCATTTAAAAAATCCTTTTTTATAAAACTTAATGCTTATTGTGGTCCTTGAGAAATATTTAATTTATATAATTAACCAGTAAGGAAAGTAGTAAAGTCGGACGGGGCCGACTATATGATACCCTTCACCACTTTGAGTATATTCAAGAAATGAATCCTAACAGAAGTCGTATGTGTCAGTCTCGTTTCCTACTGCCTGCTACAAACATATGCGCAAAAACATAATATCCTGTGCCAGAAAAAAAAATTGGTTCAAGGGTTCGAACCTCAAAACCTGGGGGCTACCAGAAAAAATTGACCACTATTTATAGTGTAGAGATGTGCTACCTAATAAGAACTGTACTAAATTAAGTCAATTTGGTTGAAAAATTCAGAACCCCCAAAATACCAAAAATTTGGGGTACCGTTATATGGGGACTACCATAAAAACTAGACCTATATTTATAATTTTTTGTAATTTGGTACCCAATAAGAACCCAATGTACAAAATTTCAGAGAATTCAGTTATAAAACAAGCCCAAGAACCCGAAAATACCGAAAATGTGGGGTACCCTTATATGGGGGCTATCCGAAAAAATTGACATTTACTTTTAATTTTTGGTAAGGAGATTTGCTACCCAATGAGAACACAAAGTACCAAATTTCAGCGAATTCAGTTAAAAAACGCGCTCAAGAACCTCAAAATACCGAAAATTTTGGGGTACCCTTATATGGGAGCTATGCCTAAACGTGGACCGATTTTCTCCAATTTCAATAGGTTTCGTCCTTGGGCCAATTAAGTGACCTGTGCCAAATTTCATCCAAATCGGATCATAAATGTGACCTGTACTTTGTTAACAAAAATACATTCTGGAAACGGACATGCATAAAAAAAAGTGATTCTATGCATATAAGGAACCATGGGTCTATCTCGATTATTTTTGCCTGTTACAAACATATGCACAAAGACATAATACCCTGTACCACAGTGTGGTGAAGGGTATAAAAATGTTGTGTAACATTTTTAAATATTATTTTTTACATTTACAATATTGTTTATATGTCATGTGCACACATCCACACGTTTATGCTGTACGTGAACCAAATTTCATATTTTATTCTATATTTGGGCAAAATAAATGTATTCACCATAACAATAAGCTGACATTTATGTGTAAATATTTTGATGTATGTATGTGTGAACATGTAGACTCGAAATATTGGACCAGAACTAGAACTGATGTTCAAACATTTGTTATATTTTGTGCATATATACTTAAATGTATGTATGTAAACAGTAGCAGATGCCAAGGAGGAAAATTATTATGCACAGTGGTGAAATTATACAATTTTGAAATAATTTCAAATATACGACCCAATCTAATATATTTATATATTTGCTCAGTTCGTTATAATATGCAATTATTTATGCGTTAAGTATGTGTGTGAATGTATGTCATCATAACATCGTTTGTATGTGCAGCAGCAGCAACAGCCTGTTGGATGTGCCACGGGGGCCATCATTTCCTTACCCCAGAAATGAGATGTGTTGTAATAAAACAAAAACAACAAAACATGAATAAATATGCCAAGTGTATTTTAATGTTTGCCGCCGCCTCAGCCGCATCCGCCGCTGCACATATAAACGCCTGATTGGTTGCCACATTCGCCTGTTAAATTTTCAGATTTTATCCGCACATTTAATGCGAAGAGCATCAATAAAAGTTTATGGCAAATGGAGAACATAAATCTGGCACAAGTTTTAATAAAAAAATGATTTTGTTTTATTTTTTTTTTCTATTTTAATAGCTGTATGTAGAGGAAGTTTTAAACTTTAAGCTAGGAAGAAAAAATCTATTCAGGCTAAAGAAAATTGTTTAAAAAAATAATAATTTTGGAGTCCCAATTTATTGTAATTTTCGAAAATTCAATATCCAGTTTTTAAAATAAAAATATAATTTATATAATATATTTAATATATAATCCCCCTTTCCGTTCTCTGACCGCCATTGTCGCTTAATTGTTCTCTGTCGTGTGCCATTTGACGACGGGGTGTCGTCCCATTCAAAACTAATAGAAGTGAATATTTATTAACAGAAAAAATAAATATTTTTGGCAACATTTCCATTTGCGCAACAAATTATAAACAATAAGTCCGCCGCTTCTTCCGCCTTTCGATTGCTTCATTTACCATCATAAACAATAACCACTGCAATGAGAATTAATATTTGTTTCTTTTGTTTTAAGAAAAAAATCAAAACAAAATCACCAAAAAAAATTAGCTGAAAGGGAATCTGTTTTTCTTTTTGACGTCTGCTGTTATATATGTAATATAGCAAGAAAAAATAAATTGTATCTTTTATCATATACTGACACCATAAATATACAGAATCAATACCAAGGATTATAATTTAAGAATAACCTAAAAATATATATTTACTCTATATGTATTAAGTTTGTTTCTGTCGATTTGTTTAAAAATATTTTTTAAAGGTCTTACCAAGAGAGTGATTTTTCAAGTATATTGTTTAAGATCCTATCTGAGGCATGGATTTTCAAAATATATAATTATCAAGGTCCTATGCATAGTCATGATTTTTTAATGTCTATAGTTAGGCATGGATTTGTATACCCTACACAACTATGTTTTCAGGGTATTATAGCTTTGTAAGAGTTTGTAACGTAACGTAAGTTTACCGATCGTCATATCTCGACCAGCTGAGTCGATCTAGACATGTGTGTCCGTCCGCCCGGGTGTCCATTATAATTTGTAAACACGATACAGGCCACAGTAATGGATCAATGTTCACGAAATTTTACATGTAGGATGGGTTCTGGCCAATGAAGTCCTTTATTGTTTTTGGTAAAGATCGGTTAATATTTAGGGGATGAAATGGACCAAAAACTTTATTTTTGTCGGTTTTTCGGGCCGCTCTAGATGCCACAATTATGGCCCGAAATCACAAAATTTTTCATGGAGAAGAGGATTGGGTCAAAGAATAACCATACCTGTTTCGATAAAGATCGGTCAATATTTAGCGGGTCAAAAGGACTCTGACTTTTGTGTGAAAAATTACAAAATTTGTATTCTATAGGGAATATATTTGCTCCTGAAGGACATGGAGCCGAGAAGTTGATAGTATATCCAAGAGGAGTGGTTGACCTTTAAATTGATACCAATTATATTGTCGTATGTACTCGGATGTGGGAGTTACACTTAAATATTTACAGGTGCTTACGTACTGAGATATTATTTAGTACCACACTAGAGGGCGGAAATATAGCGCAGATTGCTTTGAAATTTTCCATGAGGATCCAGTTATGGTCAAGGACAACGCCTATAATTTTCGGTGATGATCAGATAATAACATTGGGATGATAACATCTATTTGCACGAAATTTGGCATAGGGTACTGAAAATGACGTGTGCTAAGTTTCGTGAATCCAGTTATGGTCAAGGACAACGCCTATAATTTTCGGTGATGATCAGATAATAACATTGGGATGATAACATCTATTTGCACGAAATTTGGCATAGGGTACTGAAAATGACGTGTGCTAAGTTTCGTGAAAATCGGTTAAGATTTAGATATAGCTCCTATATAGTTACGCCCGATTTTAGGTAAATGGTGTACCAAAGTCCTTATATATCTTTCGATTTACAATTTGGTATAGCGCAATGAATTAGGTCTAGAATAATGTGTGTTAAGTTTCCTGAAAATCGGTCCAGATTTAGATATAGCTCCCATATATATTTTCGTCCGATTTAAGGTAAATGGCGTACCAAAGTCCCTATATATCATTCGATTTCCATGAAATTTGGCATAGCGTAATGATTTAGGTCTAGAATGATGTGTGTTAAGTTTCCTGAAAATCGGACCAGATTTAGATATAGCTCCCATATATATTTTCGTCCGATTTAAGGTTAACGGTGTACCAAAGTCCCTATATATCTTTCGACTTGCACGAAATTTGGCGCAGGTTAGTGAATTGAGATATAGCTCCCATATATATTTTCGTCCGATTTAATGTAAATGGTGCACCAAAGTCCCTATATATTTTTCGATTTGCACAAAATTTCGCACAGCGTATCGAATTAGGTCTAGAATGATGTGAGCTAAGTTTCGTGAAAATCGGTTCAGATTTAGATATAGCTCCCAAATATATTTTCGTCCGATTTAAGGTAAATGGTGTGCCAAAGTCCCTATATATCTTTCGATTTGCACGAAATTTGGCATAGCGTAATGAATTAGGTCTGGAATGATGTGTGTTAAGTTTCCTTAAAATCGGTCCACATTTAGATATGCCTCCCATATATATTTTCGTCCGATTTTAGGTAAATGGTGCACCAAAGTCCCTATATATCTTTCGATTTGCACGAAATTTGGCATAGCGTAATGAATTAGGTCTAGAATGATGTGTGTTAAGTTTCCAGAAAATCGGTCCAGATTTAGATGTAGCTCATATATATATATTTTCGTCCGATTTTACGTAAATAGTGCTCTAAAGTCCCTTTATATCTTTCGATTTGCACGAAATTTGGCATAGCGTAATGAATTAGGTCTAAAATGATGTGTGTTAAGTTTCCTGAAAATCGGCCAAGATTTAGATATGGCTCCCATATATATTTTCGTCCGATTTAATGTAAATGGTGTACTAAAGTCCCCATATATCTTTCGATTTGCACGAAATTTGGCATAGCGTAATGAATTAGATCTTGAATGATGTGTATTAAATTTCCAGAAAATCGGTCCAGCCATACATATTTTTGTCCGATTAAATGTAAATGTTGCTGTAATCGGTTTAGATTTAGATATAGCTCCTATATAGCAATCGGTTCAAATTTCGATATATATTATATATTTGCTTTAAATTGTGCCTGATCCGTCAAAAATGCGACGTCTGTTAAGATTCATCTTTTGAATATGCCCAAAATGGTGAAGAGTATCATATAGTCGGCCTCGTCCGACTTTACTGCTTTTCTACTGGTTTTTTAATATTTTTGAGGTCCTGTCTTATTTTTTACTAATTCTTGTATCAATACTTCGGTTTGACACTGTTTGCCACAAATGTCTACACTGGTCTCTCAGAATTTTAGTTATAGTCGTCAGCCGTCTTTAGTAAACGTTTTTGTTGTGTACGTTTTAGAAAATCCGACCACATAAAAGTAGGTTAGAACAAAATCCATTTCATGTTTGTATTTAATGGCTCTTTGCTGCTGCTGGTGCCTCTACTCTATGTACATCTTTCTTAGAACACAAAAAATTAATATAAATTGAAATATATCTATTTTGAATACTACAAAAAATAATTTTTGTTGTTTTGTTTCATTTGCGAAATGTGAATGGCCCAAACGATCGGCTGAATGCGGCAGTAGTAATAATTTAGTATTCATAGAGACAACACATTCGTATTAAGGAAAAACTTAATAGAAAGGATTGCATTTTAACATAAATATATTATTTTTTGTATTTTTCCAAAATCCATTCAAAAATTAAAGGTTACACCGGATGGTCTGGCTGATAAGGGTGGCATACGTCTGGGTGATATAATCTTGCAAATTAACGAAGAGGACGTAACTGGGCTGACATTGGCACAGGCACACGAAAAAATTGACGCCAGCGGCAAGAAGATACATTTTCTGGTAAAGAGGTATGTTGGAGGATAGATGGTTACATAAGGGGTTCTCAGGGTATAAAGGAAAAAAATCATGCCTATAAATACCTGTATTTTCCTTTATGCCTAAATCGTTGATTTTATGAGACCTCCAACAGTCTCTCAAAAATCTGACCCAACTTTTTTTTCTTTATTTTCCTTAGCATGGAGGAGGATCCATTGGAAGAATTTGAAATAGGCGAGGAGAAGTCAATTGTCCTGAGAGTACCAAAACCAGTGCCACCTCCGCCAGGTTAGTAGCTCAAACCTGTATTCCTGAATATTTTTATTTTCAATATTTTCCCTTTTTGCATGACAACAAAAATTACCAAGGCATGCGTCTCCCCCATCCTGCCACAACCCCACAAATCCCATGTTCCCAAAAGTTATTTTTCTTTGTAAAAAATAAAAATCCTCACACACACACAGGCACATATTTATTTTATTAACAAATAAAATCGGTCTATTTGTAGAATTTGTCCCTACTCCACTGCTAGGCTCCCGTTGTTGGCATCCCATTATGTGGAATCCACCTCCACCACCTCCCAAGCCAAAGAAAAAGAAAACCAAAACCGAAATCGATGAAGAGGGTAATGAGGTGGTTATCGAACTCAGCGAAGATGAATCTTCAGAAGAAGAGGAAGAGGAGGTAGGAGGCCAACAACAACCACAAGTTTTTGTTAACCCAATTAAACTTTCTATTCTATTTTTTTGTTCTTTTGATTTTTGTAAATATTGAAAAAAAAACAAATTATATTGCTTCCCAAAAAAGGAGTTGCCACATCATCGCATCATACGCAATATCCGACGTTTCTTTGCCAATGTGGGTGACGATATTGAATTGAAAAATCGCATTACCGAAGATATGCTCTTGGCTTTGCCTACAGCTTCGAAAGATACCTAATTGCGGCGCCAAAATGTTTTTTGTTTTTATATATATTTTTTTTAAATTAATATTTATTTTTTTAATTTTTACTAAAATTAATTTATTTATATAATTATTTATATACACATCCATTATTATGAACGTAGAAATAATAACCCTTAGTCCTGATTTATATTAGGCGAGTTTACTTGCGGCAATTATTATCGTTCCTTTTTGAACTTGCTCCATGCGTCTATACAAGGCAATTCGGTTTCGAAAATATTTCTTTTTTCATTTGATGTCAATAGTTTTTCACATTTAAATAAATATAAAATGTCAACAAATACGAAATACACAAAACGAATTGCCAGAAAATTGTCGGTACGAGCAATTTTTTTCCATTTCTATTCCCCTTGCCCCTCTCTCCTACAGTCAAAGACTTGCCGCAAGTAAACTCGCCTAATATAAATTGGGACTTACATAGTTAACAAAAATAGTTGGCATTGTTGTTGTTTAATTTTTTTTCATTGTATATATGTTCATTGTTTTTTATATAAGAGAAAGGATATCAACAAGGATATAAAAAAATTTGTTTTAAATAAAATTTCAAATTTCTTAAGGTCTTAAAGAATATTTTTTCAATTCTCCCAAAAGGCGTGGATTTTTTAATGAATATTTTTTCAAGGTTTCACAAAAGGCGTGGATTTTTTAAAGAATATTTGTTCAAGGCTCCCCACAAGGCGTGGATTTTTTAAAGAATATTTTTTCAAGGCTCCCCACAAGGCGTGGATTTTTTAAAGAATATGTTTTCAAGGCTCCCCACAAGGCGTGGATTTTTTAAAGAATATTTTTTCAAGGCTCCCCACAAGGCGTGGATTTTTTTAAGAATATTTTTTCATGGCTCCCCACAAGGCGTGGATTTTTTAAAGAATATTTTTTCAAGGCTCTTCCTATAAGGCGTGGATTTTTTTTTAAAGAATATTTTTTCAAGGCTCTTCCTATAAGGCGTGGATTTTTTTTAAAGAATATTTTTTCAAGGCTCCCCACAAGGCGTGGATTTTTTAAAGAATATTTTTTCAAGGCTCTTCCTATAAGGCGTGGATTTTTTAAAGAGTATTTTTCCAAGGCTCTTCCTATAAGGCGTGGATTTTTTAAAGAATATTTTTTCAAGGCTCTTCCTATAAGGCGTGGATTTTTTAAAGAATATTTTTTCAAGGCTCTTCCTATAAGGCGTGGATTTTTTAAAGAATATTTTTTCAAGGCTCTTCCTATAAGGCGTGGATTTTTTAAAGAATATTTTTTGAAGGCTCTTCCTATAAGGCGTGGATTTTTTAAAGAATATTTTTTCAAGGCTCTTCCTATAAGGCGTAGATTTTTTAAAGAATATTTTTTCAAGGCTCTTCCTATAAGGCGTGGATTTTTTAAAGAATATTTTTTCAAGGCTCTTCCTATAAGGCGTGGATTTTTTAAAGAATATTTTTTCAAGGCTCTTCCTATAAGGCGTGGATTTTTTAAAGAATATTTTTCCAAGGCTCTTCCTATAAGGCGTGGATTTTTTAAAGAATATTTTTTCAAGGCTCCCCACAAGGCGTGGATTTTTTAAAGAATATTTTTTCAAGGCTCCCCACAAGGCGTGGATTTTTTAAAGAATATTTTTCATGGCTCCCCACTAGGCGTGGATTTTTTAAAGAATATTTTTTCAAGGCTCCCATGAAGCGTGGAGAAGGAAGAAAGGCGTGGATTTTTTAAAGAATATTTTTTCAAGGCTTCTATAAAGCATGGATTTTTTAAAGGCCACTTTTGAATTTTTCTCCTTCGTATTTGATATCCTTTCTATATTCTCTCATATAACTATTCGGTTATCAAAATATTCACTTTATTAACACCAATAAAAACACCAAACCAACCATCCTCCATGTATTGTAGGTGCCTCCTCCATTGAGGCACGTTTGCGTGCAATGCAAAGGAAACTGTCGGAAATTGCTGAAATACCGAAAATTCTCTCCTCGACATTGGCGACGGTGTCGCAGACCTTTGAGAAGTTGAATCTCACCGGAATGCCGCCAAATCCCAACTACACGGCCGGTGACATTTACCAGCAGCATTTGCAGAGACGTAAATTGTCCTACGATGAGGATGCCTACGATTATGAGTTGAGTGATGGTGGTAATAGTGATGAGGACGAAGTGGAAGAGCGGGACGATGATGTTGACAAAAAGAAATCAAAGAAGCGGTTGGATGAAGATTTCAATGCCAAGGAGGCCTATCAACGATTAAAGCAACACATTGCCGCCAGACGTCGTAGAAAATCAAAGGACGTAACACCAGAATCTGATTATGCTTCGGAAAATAATTACTCGCCAACGGGCGAGCGAGAGGGTGGAGGGAGTGATGATGACGAAGATGTCTACAAGGATGATGGTGGCGGCGACACCGATGACGACAAGACCATTAGTAGTGATAAAGAGTTCAATATGAAATGTTTCCTAACACCTGGAGGTCATGACCCAACAGATGATGAAATCGACGATGATGAGGATGAGACAGATGAAGATGATTTCCTTACAACAACATTTACCTGGAGTTTTGCGAATAAATCCAAATCGAAAAACACCTCCAAAGACACCGATACTACCAGCAGCGACTCATGTGCCAGCTGTGATGAAGACGGAGCAGCTGTGGAGAAGGAAAGAAGTCTTATTGCCACACTTAAGCAACATGAAGCTTCCGTTAATAATGCTCCAGAGGATTCCTCGTCAAAACAACCAAAGGTGAGTGGGATAAACCGTATTTTTGTTTACATTCTTTGACATTTTTCTTTTCCCTCTTCTTTTTCTATATGTTTTACTCCTTAAAGCTGGATAAATTTTGGCCCTGGGCAGATCGTGAGAAAATTATTTACAAGTAAGTAGAAACGTTACTATGGTAATTTAATTGCAATTAAAAAACAAATCCGACAAGGCTTAAAAAAAGAGAAACAGGTCTTCTTCATAGGAAAGCTGAAGGTCTTCTCCTTCATAGCAGAGCTGGAGGTCTTTCAAATGGAGGGGGATTTTTTAACAATATTTTTTTCATGTCCTATCCAAAGTTGAGGATTTTTAAAAATATTTTTTCAAGGCTTCTTCTATAAGGCGTGGATTGTTTAAAGAATATTTTTTCAAGGCTTCTATAAGCCGTGGATCTTTTAAATAATTTTTTTCAAGGCTTCTATAAGACGTGGATCTTTTAAATAATTTTTGTCAAGGCTTCTCTGTAAGGCGTGGATTTGTTATAGAATTTTTTTAAGGGTTCTCTGTAAGACGTGGATTTGTTAAAGAATTTTTTTAAGGCTACTTCTAAACGGCGTGGATCTTTTAAATAATTTTTTTCAAGGCTTCTTCTAAAGTCGTGAATTTTTTAAAGAATTTTTTTCAAGACTTCTATAAGGGGTAGATTTCTTAAAGAATATTTTTTCAAGGCTTCTATAAGGCTTGGATTTGTTAAAGAATATCTTTTCGAGGCTTCTATAAGGCGTGGATTTGTTAAAGAATATTTTTTCAAGGCTTCTTCTATAAGGCGTGGATTTGTTAAAGAATATTTTTTCAAGGCTTCTTCTATAAGGCGTGGATTTGTTAAAGAATATTTTTTCAAGGCCTCTTCTATAAGGCGTGGATTTGTTAAAGAATATTTTTTCACGGCTTCTATAAAGAATATTTTTTCAAGGCTTCTATAAGGCGTGGATTTGTCAAAGAATATTTTTTCAAGGCTTCTATTAGGCGTGGATTTGTTAAAGATTATTTTTTCAAGGCTTCTATTAGGCGTGGATTTGTTAAAGATTATTTTTTCAAGGCTTCTATTAGGCGTGGATTTGTTAAAGATTATTTTTTCAAGGCTTCTGTGGTTTCTTTAAAATATTTTTTCATCAACTTATAAAAAGTTTGTTTTTTTAATTTTTATTTTTAAATAATAATATTTTCTTTTTATTTATTCTCTCCCATTATATTACCTTTTCTTATTTTGCGCATATATCGTAGTATATATCTTAAGTAGATTTATATTAGAAAAATTTGCAATTACTTCTTATTAAATTTTCTCTTTATTCCTTTTTCTCTTTCTTCATTACAGACAATCGACTTGTCATTTGGTTCCTAAGAAACCTTTGGGCCTCATTGAACAGCGCATTCAATTGTTGGCTAAACGTAACCTTTTGGAGCATTTGGGAACCACCAACAACAGCAGCAGCAATAACAACAACTCTAACCAGAAAACCAATAAATAAACCACATTCGTTGTTCTAAGAATTTTTATTCATTTAAATTTTTTTTATTTTGTATATTTATTTTCTTTACTCTTTTTTTCTTGATTTGTTGTAATCAGATTTTTTTTATTTTTGAGGAAAATTTTACTGCCTTTATTTGAGACACGTGCCTGGCCTGACTGACTGACTGCCTGTCTGCCTTTTGTTTAACATTAGCATTTGAACCCACAGTCTCCATTACATTTGGTTATGTTTGTGTGCTTTTTATTTTAAATTAAATAAATAAAATCAAATCAAATGAAAATGTTGGTGTGTATTGAAATTTTCTGGTTTGCGTGTCGTTATTATGAAAAGTCAATATTTATTTAATATGACCAGGGCTTAAATTAAATTTTATATTGGGCTCCTGCCTGCCAGCCTGCCATCCACTTGATGATGGTGATAATCATGGTAATTTCCTATTTGTTTTGTGGTGAAATATTTGTAATTAATAATGAATGATAATTATATTGCATTTTGCGGAAAATTTTTATTTATTTTGAAGTTAATTTGGAGATTACAGTAATTAGAAGATTTTTTAGGTTAGGTCAGTTCGATATTGAGTGAGAAAAATATAGGAACTCAAATTTCAAATTCACATTGTGCTAAATTAAAATACTGTGTAGTACTTTTCGTATAGATGGGTACACTCTTCCAAAACCACCTTCCATATATCGACCCTACTTTTCAGCCTTTATTCGCATTCCAAATTTCAAGATTTTGCCGCGAAATTGAAATTACAGTACCGAAAACTTTGTTCGAATTTCCAAAAAAGTTTTTTTTACTTCACTTAGCGGATCGATGAAGGAATTTGATCAAAAAAAGGAACTATATTAATTAAAGAACTGGAACTTTCTTGGAATAGTTCCAAAAACTATTTGGTTCATCTATCCTACACTTCATCAGTGGTCCTTATTTCAAATTTGAGAGTTATAGCTCTGCTTGTTCGCCAAATACAAATTGTAGCGTATTTCGAAATTGTTGTGGCGTTTTGGTACTAGTTACCAAATATGTGAGAAAACTTCAGAATTCCCTCTAACCAATGCTGCAAAATTTATAAAAATCGGTTAAGTACATCCAGAGTTATTTGCATTTGAAATCTACCATGCTGCGAAATACACCAACTATTCGGTGCTGGGCGCCTATTACCAAAAAGTGAAAACCACCACAAAAATCGATTTTGTAAAAATGGAAAATTTTCTCTTTTTAGCAGCTACTGGTAAGTATGTGTAAGTAAATGTATTCTACACAAGATATGTGTATAAAAATCACAAACAAGTCCGTCTACATATAAAGCGAAAAAAAACTGGGCCAAACATTTTTTTTTTGCCTAAAAGTATGCTATACTTTTCTTTACAAACAACCCAGCAGTCATGGAAAAAATTGCAGTTTTTAGAAAATCGATTTTTGTGGGATTTTTCATTTTCAGGTAATAGGCGCCCAGCAGCAAACAGGAAGCCTATTTCGGAGTATAGTTGAATTAAAATGCAAATAACTCTGCGACTAACTGCTCTATTAACACAAATAGGGTGTCATATGAAAGGGGGAAATGTTGTCTTTATTTTGGTATCGGAAAATTTATTTTATTTATTTCAATTGTTCGCATACATATAACATTTTCATTGTAGGTCGATGAAAAATATTTTTACACTACACAACTTCCACTAAAATCTAACTTTGTGTGGTTCTATATTCTGATCTTGGGCAATGTTTGCACTCTCTTGACCTTCACCGTGGGTTGTGTTGTAATGTTCTGCTTTCAATTGAGGCCTATAGATCGACTCGCCGAAAATTTAGTTTTCGGTTCACTTTATACCAATATTATTATCATCACCGAAAATTATAGGCGTTGTCTTTAACCAGACCTGGATCCTCATGGAAAATTTCAAAGCGATCAGCGTTGTATTTTCGCCCTCCATACAAGGCTTGGATTTTTTAAAGGATATTTTTTCAAAGGACCAACCATCCATACAAGGTGTAGATTTTTTAAAGAATATTTTTTCAAAGAACCAACCATCCATACAAGGCGTGGATTTTTTAAAGAATATTTTTCCAAAGGACCAACCACCCATACAAGGCGTGGATTTTTTAAAGAATATTTTTTCAATGGACCAACCATCCATACAAGGCGTGGATTTTTTAAAGAATATTTTTTTAAAGAATATTTTTTCAAAGGACCAACCATCCATACAAGGCGTGGATTTTTTAAAGAATATTTTTTTAAAGAATATTTTTTCAAAGGACCAACCATCCATACAAGGCGTGGATTTTTTAAAGAATATTTTTTCAAAGGACCAACCATCCATACAAGGCGTGGATTTTTTTTAAAGAATATTTTTTCAAAGGACCAACCATCCATACAAGGCGTGGATTTTTTAAAGAATATTTTTTCAAAGGACCAACCATCCATACAAGGCGTGGATTTTTTAAAGAATATTTTTTCAAAGAACCAACCATCCATACAAGGCGTGGATTTTTTAAAGAATATTTTTTCAAAGGACCAACCATCCATACAAGGCTTACTATGTAATATTTGAATACGTAAGCACCTGTAAATATTTAAAGTTTTTGGTCCATTTCGCCCCCTTAATATTAAACGATCTGAACCAAAAAATAGGGGCCTTCATCCCACACGTAAAATTTCGTGAAGATTGGTCCATAACTCTGGCCTATATCGTGTTTACAAATTATAATGGACAGACGGACGGACACACATGTCTAGATCGACTCAGCAGGTCGAGATATGACGATCGGTATACTGAAAGGAGGGTCTAGGACCAAAATTTGGCGGCGTTACAAACTCTTGGGTCTGCACAAAGCTATAATGCCCTGACAACATAGTTGTGTAGGGTATTCAAATCCAGGCCCATTGTAGGTCGAAGAAAAAAATATTAAAAAAAATCAACGACTACTGTAGGTCGATGAAAAAAGGTATTTTAAAAAATCCACGCCTATTATTGTTTTTCCTTTTATCCTTATTAGAAGTTTTCACCAATTATATATCTACTTAAGTGTGAATTAAGTCCTTGACATTAGCGAATAAAATAAGAACAACAAAAGTTGCAGAGAGAAACATATTTTTTTATTAAAATTAAAGGAGTCACCACTTGGAGTCCGCGAACAACTCTAATGGCAGCCACATTGTCGCCTTTATCCTTTATGAATTATGTTAATAACCCATTTGGCTGGAACAATGTAATCTTTATGAATATTTTGCAAAGAGAAGGAGAACCATATAAAGGATAATAGAAACTAACTTTGTTTTGGAACGAAAAGAAAAAAAAACGAAACAAAACAAAACATGCAAAAAGGCACCATACTTTCTACTTAGTGTGCACACACTGAAATGGTATGTTGAACAGCGAATAATGTTCTTTTATTAATGCAAAAGCGTTTTGGGATCCTTGTGGACACGTACCGAGCAACTATGCACACACACTTGGTCTTGCCGAACATAGTTGCAATGCTAAATTGTTGCTTTTGTTCTCGTTGGCGTTCTTTTTTTTTGGTGGGGGGGCGTTACAAAGGAAAATATTTCTCATAAATTTATTGCTCGAATATGTAGAGTAGGAATTTCTTTTTGGAAACTTTGATATAAGGAATTGCCTGTGGATGATATTGGGAGGTAATAAAAAGTGGTATTTATTCCGCTCATGAGGGAGTGGGTGAGTTGCTATGGGGTGGATATAATGTTGCAGGATTTTTTTTTTTGTCATGAGAAAGTAGGTGTGGATTTTTTGAATATTTTTTTTCCGATCTACAATAAGCGTGGATTTTTTCAAATTAATTATTCCTCGACCCACAAACTGCGATCTCCAATAAGCGTGGATTTTTATACCCTTCACCACACTGTGGTACAGGGTATTATGTCTTTGTGCATATGTTTGTAACAGACAAAAGGAAAGCAGATAGATACATGGTTCATTTTGAGAATATGCATAGAATCACTTTCTGAGTCGATTTATGTATGTCCGTCCGTTTGTAGATGTACAAAGTACAGGTCGCATTTATGATCCGATTTGGATGAAATTTGGCACAAGTCACTTATTTGGCCCAAGGACGAACCCTATTGAAATTGGGGAAAATCGGTTTAGACTTAGATATAGCCCCCATATATATTTTGTTCCGATTTAAGGTAAATGGGGCACCTAAGTTCCTTTATATTTTTCTATTTGCACGAAATTTGGCACAGAGTACTGAATTAGGTTCAGAATGATGTGTGCCAAGTTTCGAGAAAATTGGTTCAGATTTAGATATAGCTCCCATATATAGTTTCGTCCGATTTAAGGTAAATGGTGCACCGAAGTCCCCATATATGATTCGATTTGCATGAAATTTGGCAAAGCGTGCTGAATTAAGTCCAGAATGATGTGTGCTAAGTTTCGAGAAAATCGGTTCAGATTTAGATATAGCTCCCGATTTATGGTAAATGGTGCACCAAAGTCCCTATATATGAGGACCAAAGTCCCTATATATGAGCATGTGTATGGACTGATGTTAGTCAGTTTACTTATAGATAAAGATCGCATTTTTAAGTTCGTTCAATTACATGTCTACGTTCCTTCGAAAAGACGACATCTGTAAAGACACATATGTAGAATATCTCCAAAGTGGTGAAGGGTATCATATAGTCGGCCCAGTCCGACTTTACTACTTTCCATACTGGTTTAAAATAAAGTTTTCATCGACCTACAATAGGCGTGTATTTTTTTAAAATTACTTTTTCAGCGACCTGCAATATAGCCGTGGATTCTTTTAAATTAATTTTTCATCGACCTGCAATATGGGCGTGGATTTTTATACCCTACACAACTATGTTGTCAGGCTATTATAGCTTTGTGCAGCCCCAAAAGTTTGTAACGTCGCCAAATATTGGACCTGGACCCACCTTTAAGTATACCGATCGTCATATCTCGACTAGCTGAGTCGACCTAGACATGTGTGTCCGTCCGTCCGTC